TTATTATTTATTCGTTTCATACTCTATTTTCTGATCTTTGTTGTTCGTTTCATAAGTCTAGGAAGATCTTTAGTTCTTGAATTTAAGAGTAGTCATTGCATTTCCAACTTCCACCGCTATTATTACCTTCATCAAAGGACCATGCCGACCCAAATGCCAGCCATATGCTTCAACAATAAGAGCCACAAAAGAAACAAAAAAAAAAAAGAAAAAAATTTAAAAACGAAGCGGTAAAAAGCCTACAGCATCCCGGATTCCCATGTTGTCTCCAACCATAGTACTAACGAGACCCTCAGACGCTTAACTGCAGTGATCGGACGGGAACTGGTGTTTTCGCCTAGGTGTGGCCGTAGACTTCATAACTGTTAATATAATAAGAATATTCATCATCTCATATTTTACAAAAAGTTCCATCTGCGTCTGTTTACATGGTTCACGTTGGCTAAGCTTCTCTTTTGCTTGGATATATAGTAAACAAAAGAGTACAAGGAAAAAGAAGCAAAGAAAAGAGTAAACAAAAGAGTACAAGGAAAAAGAAGCAAAGAAAAGAAAAAGCCATTTCTATGAAGGAATGGCATGGAAATTCGACGAATTCCAGTGGTGGCCAAAAGGCAGCATCTAGAAAGTGCTAGGCCGTTTAGTTGCTCGTGATGAGTAGGTATAAATTCGAAGCATGTAAAAGTCAATCGACAACATCTACAAACAGTATTAAATTATTTAACTGCTATTTGAAATTGACAACTGCTATTGCTAATCGTTATTAACAATGTCTCTCCAACCCTTCTTTGAATTGCACCCCTTCCAAGACGTCTTTTCTGACTTTTTGAGTTATTCTCCTCGTGTCCAACGCCAAAACCGTGTTGGTGATTTGTCACCGGCCATTGATGTTCATGAAGGCAAAGATACCGTCGAGGTGGATGTAGAACTTCCTGGTGTCAAAAGCAAGACGTACAGGTTCATTACGATGAAGGAAAATTGACGATTTCTGGTGAATCTGTAAACGAACGCAAGAGCGAAAGCGACAAAGGAAACCAAAGATGGTCGGAACGTCGCTTTGGTTCCTTCTCTCGAACAATCACCATTCCAAACAGGGTGGACGCCGACCGCATTGAAGCTCAATTTAACCACGGTATTCTAAGCATTGTCTTGCCAAAGATTGAAGAATCTCGCTCGAGAAAGCAAATTGCCATTCACTGATTCTAATTCAGCAGAGACAGACTATGAAGTGAATCGGAAACTTTTAACGCACAATATTTTCTAATGATGAGACGAGTTTACGAACCTATGGATCCAGTAATTCTGAATTGACATTGTTTGTGGTTATGAAAATAATTAATGAATGAATAAATGTATGAATAAAATAGTTGTTTTGTGTTTTATTAATTAAGAGACAATTGTACGTCGTATTGTAAACATCAAAGGTAGTTTTGGAACCTCATATTATGCTAATTCTTGTATTTCTAGTTTCTGAGCGTTATTATCGAAACAATTAGAGATGCTTAAATGTCATTACATTTGAATGATTTTACTGAAAGCAATTCTTCTGTTGAAATATTCTAACGACGAAAGCTTTGTAATATAATTAGTTTATATTATATAAGAGTAGAGCAGAGCAGAGCAGAGACGAGAGGAGAGGAGACGTCTGCATAGTATGCATTTCAAAAGAAAAATTATTATCAAATTAAATTAAAATGAAATGAAAAATCAAGCTAGAATAGAATATTTTGTTTATTTTGTGTAACTGTGTAACTAACTTAAATCAATAGCAACCATATAAATTGTCACAAAAACACATCAAAGTAAAAATAAGCTACACATTAGCAAAGACAAAAGGAATTGTGGTGTCTATCTCTTAACGATGGAAATAAATTCATTTAATAAATCATATATATATATATATACGATTATATATATTCTCTGGTCCAGGATTTGCCAATGTTGATGCGGTAACCCTGCTAGTAGGGCCCACTGGTTTGTATCAGTATTTGCAATAGTGATAATATAGTAGGCATTTTAAATTTGAAAGAGAAGGGTTTGCAAGGTTTTCGACAAAATGAAGGTAGCAAAAGGAGCTTTCAAGCATACATTCTTAAGATTCTTTCTCAATGTCAACAAATCTACAGAAAAGTACAAAGCCACCAAACATAACGGTTTTCCATAAATTATCTACAAATACAATACGACAATACGATTCATTTCAACATGCAACGATTTAAAAATACTGACTGTACCATCGAGGCTGAAATTTCGTCAATATTTACTATTTTATTCTTCATTGCGGATACTTTGTGAAAGCCGCAATTGGAAACCGCACTGCGGCCAGTGGATCGGCGGATTATGAGTCATTCATAAAGAGAAAAATAACATAAATAAAAGATCAAGCTGCCAGAAATGAACATGAAAATTGGAAAAACATTACTATATACTTTTGGTTTGAAAACCAGTCGAGCAGTTGCGAAAGCTGAATCTGAATCTGAATCTCACTCATAGGGAAAAGAAAAAAAATATAAAAAGACAAAAGACAAAAGTGAAAAGTAAAAAGTAAAAGTAAAAAAAAGAAATGGTTGGCAGTGTTTCTCGAATTCGCTGTCGTCCCCGCTATTGGGCTTTCTTTTAGTGTCCATACCTTTGATTTGCTTTCTAACATGGGCAATTTGCTTGATTGTTCTTTTGGTCTTTGGAATACTCAACACAAATGGCATGCTCCTGATCAACCAAAACCTGTCTTTCTGACTGATATGGGTGCGCATGCGCATACAAAGGATTTTTCATTCCCATGACTGTTATTACAGGTGTTTTCTATATGCTCTCTCTCCTTGCCATTCGTCTATGTGGGCAATGGGGATTCATATATCCTACATCTTCCGAGTTAGAGGCTATTTTTGGTTGGTTTTCTGTATTGACAAGCGCTGGTTGTGCAGGTTGTTTGATTGCTCTGTCTATTCGTGATATGGTACATCACCATCGCCTCAATTGGCAATTCACGGCATCTTATTATGTCTTGGCATTTGCTGCTGCTGACAGTAATTTGGTTGAATGGCTTTTCGCATACTATCGTTATCATAAACAAAGTAATCTAGTAGCTGTTTCTTTTATTCAAGGCTTTGATCAGTCTTGCTGCTACTGCTTCCGTCATTGCTTATGCAGGTATGTATCATTATCATGACCATTCTCGGTCAGCTAGATTTGAATGGGTTGTTGAATTTTTATGGGCTATTTATATTTTTCTTTTCTGTCTAGATTTACTTCCAGCGATCCATTATGAACGGTATCCTTTGAATGACCTGGAAAAGGGTGTGTCTAGTTGACTAGACAATTTGTTTTCTTTTTTTCCTTTTTTTATTTTGTTTATTGATAGTTGTACAATAGATTATTATTTTCATTTTTAAGGAAATACTTGCTTTCCGCAAAAATCAAGTAGTAAATAAACAAATAAATGAAATAAAATAAAATAAGAGCAAGCGAAAACAGTTTCCAAATACGCTATGGGAGAGAATCAGAAATAGAAATAGAAACAGGCTGCTGCTACAGCTTGAGAATTTGGGTCATAGGAATGCTGCATTTCTGGGATAAGAAATGACATGACGGACTGGAAAGGAACCACACACAACAAGGCATGCAATGATCTTCTAAATAATAGTTGGAAAAAAGAGAAAAGTAAAGGTAAAGGTAATGTCCATAAAAATACAGAATAGAAAAAGAAAAGAAAAGGTAATCTTGCTTCGTTTATGCTCTTTATGTGAATGCATGGTTTAGAATCGACGGTGTCGCTGCTTTTTCTTTCTTTTTTTATATGAAAATTAAAAAGAAATAGTCGTTGATTCGTTCTTGACGAATTATAAATTCAATTCATCGTATAGAGTATTATGACTCGTATCGTGACTTAGTTGACTTGCTTGGGCTGAGATCAACTCAAACGAAAAAGGAAGGCATTGCTTGACAATTTTATAAACCGGTATGAATGATTCAACGGCAACGAGATAGCTTGGTTTGGATTACTTGGATGAACAACAGTATATGACAAAAGTAAAAGCTCTTCGAAAAAAAAAACAAGATAATCCAAATTCAATTCACAAAAATCATTGAAAAATAAAAACTGCTATGCTTAAAGACAAGAGCATTCTACAAATTGTAGGTAAACAAACACTTGGATGTAGACAGATTTGAGGGAATTTCAAGAATTTTAATTTTAGCAGCTAAATGAAAAGCATAAAAAAAGCAAAAAAAACTGAACCAGCACCAACCTTGTAATCATGCGACCGTTTGGCTGGCGGCAACAATACACTACACCCACTGTCTACGATACAAAACACTAGGGTTACATTTGGTTATTGAGTATATGAGTTGAGTTGTGTTGTGTTGGAATGGGAAGCGTATATCTGATGCAATTGGTGTTTGTCGAAAAAAAAAAACGATATGTTTTGATTTTCATTTTCATGAACAAAAAACAAAAGAAATACAATTACAACAAACGGAATTCGAATGATTTCTGACTGCTAGATGTCGAATTATTTACCAATTTCCATTTTCTAAAAGCTACGATACAAAATACACACTACTTTTGCGCAAAGCTATAAGCCGCTATGCCCTACTATTGTAAAACAAGCTGTGGATAGATCTGTGGATCGCTTTGAGGTGCGCAGTAGTTGCTGTATTTCACGGTACACTCCTGTATGCAGAAACACGTAGTATGTCTGTCGGACTTGCAACCGACTGCCAGAGATCGTTTGACAAACCCTTTGGGGCCCCGTTAACACCATCTATCAAAGATAGCACAACATAGCACAACATAATATAACATACCTGTTAGCGAGTTCCCAATTATGTAAATAGCCTGACAAAGCATGACAAAGCACCATCCTTCCAGCTTGGCATAAATACCGTAAATCCTTCACTCACTGCCATCCTACCTACAATTGCATACAAGAAACCCAAGTAACTATCAAGGACTCACCCGAGTATCCCAATCCAGTACAGACTATTTATCGAGAATATCCGTCATGTCCGTACCGGCACTTCCAGTTACCCTCGCACCTGCCCTAAGCGGCCGCGACGCCGTAGCTGACGCCCTCTATCGCGCCGTCGTCGCCTTAGACACCGCCGACGATGCTCTGTTCAAATCTGCCTTCACGACTGATGCCGTCTTGGACGTCAACGGTACCATCATGGAAGGCTACGACGCCATCTACAGCCAATGCTATACCATGCTCACCAAATTGGACACCAACCACTCCTTTCCAACATGCGTATCAACATCACGGAAGGAGACTCGAAGGCTCAAGTGACATGCTCTGCTCTTTCTCAACACTACCGTGGTGGAGAGGGCATGAATCCCAGCTCTGACTTTCTGCTTGCTGGTGGATTGTACTGGGTGGAGCTGGTTAAGGATTCTGGAGACGGATTGTGGAAGATAAAACACTGGACGCTAAAGTCAACTTGGGGACAAGGTGACTGGGGCATTCTTGGCAAATAGATTAGACGCTACAGAGCGAGAGCGAAAGTAGAAGAGTGAGAGCAGGAGAGGGGAGGAGAGTAGCACGATACGAGGAGTTGTACATAGTACATAATAGAGGTTTGGATTCACGGCCATTACGATCCAAGTTGTCGAACCCAGGAAATTGCATTCCGTGAATATCAACACTCGGAAAGAAATTGTGGTTCGCTTGCACTTTTATATCATATGTGATTTGTTGTAATTTGCGTAGTACCTCTTTACCATGGTACAAACGCCATGAGTGTTCATTGGAATGGACGAGTCCAGCAGTCTATATCCGTACTGAGATAGATTTTTGGGGTGATGATGAGCACGATTGAACGAAAAGTAACTAAGCATACACATTGAATGACGAAAACGAATAAACTCTATGTTGAATCATTTTATGCTTTGACTATTACGATTCAAATCTATATATACTGTTTTATGTTTAAAAATTGTTTGTGTTTATGTAGCATATGCTTGTAATTTGTGATTTCATAAATATATAGAATAAAGAATATAGCATATAATTATATAGACATATCAACATATACACATATAGACATATTTATATAATGTATGGAGCATATTAGTATATACAGGTACTGCTTATATCATACAATCGCTGACAGTATTATCGTATTAGAAAAAGCTCGTATCATCCACGTAGAGAGCTGTATGTATTTAAGCGGTACACATATCATTGTGGAATAACTATTATACTATTATATCATTCTCGTACACTTTCTTTCTCGGCAACAATAGCAATAGCAATAGTAAGGCATCAACAAGAACCGAATTGGGATTGGATTTGGCTAGAGAGCTAAATAGCTCGAGTTTTTAACTGTACAAGAAGTATTGGCAAAGTACTCTTCTGTACAATGCATTGTTCGAAAAGATGCAGATGCTTTTCGAGAATTTTGCTTTGGAATCAAGTTTAAAGAGTTGCTGCCGTACTAGCTACTGAATTCCGTTGAAGACGAAATCAACGACGGCAGTCTAAATTACAGGTTTCTTAGAAATCATATGAATGTTCGATGTCGAAAACAATTGCTGCGGATTGTGCTGGAAATCCAAGAGCTTCGATCAAGGTTTGGCGTTATGGAAAGCGACAGAAGCGCAACAAAAGTACTTACTCCTACACCTACACCTACTCCTTTTCCTTCTCCGTCTCCGTCTCTTACTCTTACACCCAATCCTCTTGAGACTGCTTCGGAAAGAGCATCTTCCGTTGCTAGGATTGGCGTTGAAGACGAGACGTCTGATATGAAGCAAGAATGCGTTTGGCAAGGTACCCAAGATAACTCTTGTTGCTCGCATGAGTCTCCTTACTACGAGATCAACCAAGGGTTAGCTACCTACGGCTTGCAAATTTTATCGATCCATGCTGTATCGTGCGTCGAATGTGGAGGTCTGCTGGATGTAGAACATGTCAAATCACACATGCAAAACGTTCACCATGTTTTTCGCTTTGAAGATGAGGTTGAAAACCTGTTTAAGCAGATGAATCACATCGATCTAAAGAGTCCATCCACCGTGTCGAACGAGCGTTCATCCTCATGGGAGACGTATCCGTGTATATTCGGCTTGCCTGTTTTGTTGAATGGATACGAATGTACCATTTGTTTTGATAGTGGAGGAGGTTTTGTTCATGGAATTGCAGATACGTTTTACCGTCATGTCCGACGGCATCATGGGAGGACCGTGAATGTCAATGAGTGTATGCGACGAGTTTCGTTGCAAACGGTGAAAAACAAAAGCTATCAAAGACATCGATACTTTAAAGTGGATTTCGCTCCCGTAGTAGGAGAAGATAGAAATCATCAATTGGATTCGTTGATTGATTCTTGGTATTTGGATCGTGTGGACGAAGATTCTGATGCCGATGCAAATACAAATACATATACAAACACATACGCTAGAAAACGAAATGCAACTGAAGAGTATGGCGACGACAACGATTCGGTGGATGCTCGTCAAAAGAATTTGCTAAACCAGCAACTGGGTTGGGGAGCCATTGTCAAAGCACTTGGCCGTAACTGGCAAGGCTTGATTGGATGGCATTACATTGACGGAGCCATAAACTCCAAGATTATCCTGGAAGAGTTGATTCGGTATTATTATAGAGGATTTCAGTACTTGAAGTGGATGATGATTGGCACGAGAAAGTGTTTACAGAAGGAGGAAACTACAGTGCGCAAGAGCGTGGGTTGAATCCGCTGGAGCAAAGGGTCAGCGTCGTCAATTATGCGCGAAGTACTGCTCGGTATTTGATGTTTTTATACGACGACCAAATTGTCAAAAGATGGCCATGTACGATCCCATTTGGAACGGATGTGCAGAATCGTTTCGGCTGAAGCTGAAGCTGAAGCTAAAGCGAAACAGGCGGTGGTCGAAAACGAAAAGAGATGAACCACACCTAGGAAAAGAAGCAACAGTCGAAGACGAAGATGCCAAAGTCTCTGAATGGATTGATACCGCTATTGGCGATGATGATAATGACAATGATAATGATAATGACATTATCATGATGGAGGAAGAAGCGTTGAAGAAATCGAACGCGAACGTGCTTTACAATTAGAGTTGGAGCAACAGAGACAAGAGGAAGAAGCTGCTGGTATACAGAAAGACCAAAACAATGACCGAGGGCAACAGGACGGTGACGACGTTGACGACGACGCTGACGAGAAGGAAGAAAGAAGAGGGTTCTACTTTCGAAAGGATGAAGCGTATGCTGAATTGCACGAGGCATTAAAGTTGGCTTTTCTACGACAGTACGAATTCTCGGAAAGTATCCGCGACACAGAAATCGTCAAGTTCTTGGCATGCTTGTCTCTGCGTGACGATGGAACGTCAAGGTATGCGTATGAAATTTCGTCGTTCTTTGCTCCCTTGATTTATACGTGTCGTTTGGTCGCTGCCAGTGAATTGCAACGGTTGGTTGAGGAAGGAAAAGTCACACTGTCTTCTATACCAGAGTTTCATACGGCTGGTTCCTTTGCATACACACACGTGTTTCGCTATATATCTCTGGGCAAAAGGAATATCTACGACATTCTGTATGAAGCCAACAAAATCGTACGTGATGTGACTAGGACGGAGGGGTATGCGAATACCTTGGAAGGTCTGAACCCGTCAAGGGTATTGTTTCGACCGGCGTTCAATGCCAAATATACGATTGTTGGGAGCCATATCAACAATATGGTTGTCTTGGACCTAAGTGATCTGAGCCATCTGTATGAAAGCATGTTTTCAAGGTTGCAATTGCTCTTGGAGGAATTATGCTTTGGTGTGGATATGGAAAAGCTACTACCAAGTTCTTTGTTACAGTCAGTTGGTGACGATATTAACAATAGCAAGCTGGGGTATTCCTTTTTCAAAGAATCCGTAGACATTCGGATGACGAGAAGTGTGCTGTTGCGAACGGTTTTGAAGAATGATGAACTTCGACATCGATTTTTGCCGCTTGTTTCCAGGGACGACTTTTACGACTATTTTGAAGAGCTTGTCCAAGCGAACAAAAGAAAAGCCAGAATGGCACCCAAGAGCAAGACTGGACCGATAAAGAGAAAGAGAAAGAGAAAAAGAAAGGCTCGAGGATAGAGAAAAAGAACGACATGTCGTGGATGGATGACTTTGACGCAGTCTTCAAAAAGATTTGAAATGGTCAAAGACATCGATTCTTAATTATGAAACAAAGGCGACCAAGTTCAATGAGCTGTTGTTTTGCTTGGTCTATATTTCGGCTGGACAACCGGCGAGAGCAAAAGAAATGGTACATTGGACGCTGAAGAATTCAAAGTACAAAGCACGAGAGCTGTACTTGATGTTTGGTCGTTTGATGATTTACAGCCGGTACGACAAGACGAGAAACATGAAGTTTGCGGAAAAGCCAATCCCTCGATTCCTCCCAGAGTCTCTGTCAACATTGGCCCTTCGATACTATGCACTAGTACGTCCGTTTCAAGCATTCTTGAGCTCTGTGAAAACAGGAAACAAACAAGCAGCTGCTGTTTATACGAATGCTATGTTTGTTGTGAATGGTGGGAAACGTTTGGATAGTGGGATGCCTTATCGAATATTTCCAAAGGTGACATATGAATGCCTTGGAAAGCGTTGGGATTTCGAAATTACCGACATATTGCTCATTACTTTAAAGAAAGAAATTTAGAGGAAGACATGAGCAAAAATTCGTATTTTGATCTACAAGCCGGGCATACACGAAGTACAGCGCTTCTCATATATGGACGCACGATGGACAAGTTGCATTATTTGCCAGCGGATTACTTTGCGAATTTTTTCGAGCAAGTTTTCAATGGCAAGAGCTGCTAAAAATCAAAGACAACTCTGCGCATGGTCTCTTGGTTGAACAATGTAATCCAATCCTAAAAGAATTCGCGAGTCGACAAAGAATTGAAGAGCATGCTACACAGTGCTAAACAAGCGGTTGAAGAAGAAGGTAAGAAAACAAAAGGGAGAAGCAAAAAGTAGTGTGTTTCTTGTTGTTCGGCAACAACAACAGCAACAGCAACAGCAACAGCGACAGCAACAGCAACGGATACTAGCTCTCTGGGATTCCTCCTTCACAGATCTACGTTCAACTTTGCCGTTGGGCATTAGCCCAATTCTGTGGACTGAGTGCAAAGTTTCGGTCCAAGAACAATTTCATTCAGTTTATTTTCTGTGCAAGGTCAGAAGAATCTGATTATTGTTCTTCCTACAGCATCGGGTAAGTCATTATCATTTCTGTTGCCAGCCTTGATTGATAAACCATTCGACCAAACAATACCACATTGGTTGTTGTACCCGCGATATCCTTACGTGAGGACATGATGCGAAGAGTTAACGAAACAGGACTTGTCGAATGCACGAATACTTGGACTCAGTACAGGAACCAACCCGTGACTCCGCTTTAAAACTGCCCGACCTGTTTATCCTTACGTACGAGTCTGCACTGTCCAATTCTGCATTGGCATTCTTTGAGAGTCTTGGCGTTGCTGGTCGCTTAGCTCGTGTTGTTGTGGACGAAGCCCATAGTCTGTTGACGGATAGTACTTGGAGAAACACTTTGCTACAGGCACCAAGATTGTCGGCATTGTTTGCACCGATTCATCTGTTGAGCGGAACGTTTCCACGACCGCTGGAAACTCGTGCTAGCAAAACTTTTGGTGCTACGTTTACCGTTGTGAGAGACATATCGACAGCGCGACAGAATCTATTCTATCTTTTACGTCCGCTAGTGGCTAATGCGTTTTGAACGAGTTGAGCGTCTTGATGGAAAGAGCTAGTGTCTATGAGGGCGATGGTCGTGTGATTGTGTTTTGCCAAAAAAGCACGAAGTGGAATACCTGCAACGAAAGATTCAACGGTCGGATCTTTCCCTTGTACAGATGCCACGATTTACACGGGAGATTTAGATGAAGCGGAACGAAAAAGTCGTTTGAAAGTTTCGCAACCCGAATGGTAGGACACGAATCATGGTAGCAACCAAGGCGTTTGGTCTTGGGATCGACTATGGTGAAGTGCGTCTGGTAGTGCATTATGGATTACCGAACTCGTGTATGCAGTACGCTCAGGAAACAGGGCGAGCGGGAAGAGATGGTAAGTATGCTATTGCAGCTCTTTTCTACCAGGAACACGATTCTGTGTGGTCCAAGCATGTGGACGAGTCGATGAAGATGTTTATGAAGGACAAGACGATGTGTGTGCGTTCATACTTTGCAGCAGAGATGGATGGGGATAGTGATTGTTGTTCTTCATTTGAGAATTGTGTATATTGTTCTAGGTGTGCACAGATGTTTCTTGGTGAGTCAGCAATGATAAATATTCATGGATCAAACTTGGGGAACGGAGGAAATCGTACGATCGATGGAAGTACTAGCGAAAATGCTCGTACAGCATATAGTTTCTCACCAAACATGGGCGTGAGCATGAGTAAGGGCAATGGCAACGGCAACGGCAACGGCAACGGCTTTTTGGAAAGTTCGACGCCAAAGCCAAAGTCAAAGTCAATAAAAGTTGGACATACACAGTCTTTTTCTTCCGAGAAGGAAAAGGAAAAGGAAATGACAACACCCAAACTTGTTTCTGCCAGTACTCCAGAGTTGAGTAGTG